AGATACATCGAAGAGAAAAAGCACGACACATAACCTATCTGGATCAAGGTTTTAAAGTGATTGGCAGTCATCGGTAAAATTTAGTCACCATAGAACTACTTATCCACACGAAGTCTCATTATGATTGCATATAGGCTGCTTATCATTACATTTTTAAGACCAAACCTAATTAATTTACAATTAATCCTAATAAAAATTAGATCTATAAAAGTGTAGTTGGTTGACTGGAATTACTACCAATATGTAAGATGTAGAGTAGGCACTCAAATAATTCGACAGTACATAATGTTCCGGCTTGGAAAATTTTAAATGTTAACTAAAGCTTATTTTGATATTGATATCAGTGAAAATTCCTGACAAATAACTTAAATCCATTAATTAATAAAGACTAGTCAAACAAATTAGTAAGCCACGAAGACTACGTTCTTTGAAGTGATCATTAAAAAAGTCTTGTTTATTTCACCCAAACAAGTGATGCATAAAATCGATCTTCATATTCAAACAATATTAGAATGTTAGTTCCGCTTTGCAAGTTATAATAATAAAAGTTAGAATTGAGGTAAAATCTTATAGTGTTCAAGATCAATTTTAAAGTGATGACCTCGGAATAAGTATCTCTTTTTCCATTTCGCAGAATAATAAATAGGTCAATTTGTTTATTGATTTCGATGTCCTTATATTTTTTAATTTCAGGTTAGACCAACAGATTATTGATTATTAGTATGATGTGTATTCTGTTCTTCATATCATTTTCGAGAAATAGGCTTAATACTTGGTTGAACTGGACCGTGTGAGGAAACATTTGTATGAACAACAGTAAAACTAATAACTCACCCTTGTTATTCAACTCGAATGTGTTTCTCCACTATCCAAGATCAATAACAAACTTTGAATCATGCTAAAGAAACGAAGCTAGAAACAGGAATTGAGTCACTCAAGATTCGAACATCAAAATCTTTTAAAGCTGTAAGTATAATTTATTATAGCGTACAAGATCAAAGTATCACCTACTACATGTTCAAAACGTTTTGTCTAGAGGATATGGAAATATGTAATAGACGCTCTGTTACTCTACAGTTTAATTTATACTGGTAAATTATTCCCCATAATTCCAGTGAATCCGGTCATTGATTATGTTAGCCAAGTTCGACCTGGATATATTTTCTTGTTAATTTGTTTTAGGAGATAATCACTGATGCCGTTAAAACAGAAATACAGGAGATTGACTGATGTAAAACACCGAAGATAGATAACTTAATCCCTTTGTTCTTCTACATGACACATATTTCTACCTGGCTTTCAGAATGTTTACAGTGATCTTAATCCTCTAACATACAATCTTACTTAACAAACAAACAACGGTGCTGTTAAGAACCGGTAAGCACCGAGATTCAATGAGTTATTAACATAAATGAACAATCACTTCAATGATACAGACGCATTCTACTACGATTATTTTCTAGTAGCTAGGAATAATTAGTCCCATCAACTACTAAATAAAATTAGCTTGGTGAATAAACAAGTGTAAATTTAAGGTAGAAATTAAAACCGAACGACTAAAACGGGAAATGTGGTTAGGCTGAGCTATACCCCTAAACAACCTTGAGATCTCAAAGCATTTAACCAAACAGGAAACATTAAGGCATAACGAATTACTTATTATACTCAGACTAATACTTTGGATATGCATCTTAGGATCGTTGCATTGTAGCTGATGTCGTTTATTAGTGAAAATATTTATTTTAACTCGTAGTGCTAACTCCTAACCCTATTTTAGCAAATGAGCTGTGATCATGAAGCGGTCGCACATACACAATTGGCTCGATGGTATAGTTCAGCTTCATCGAAAAGGTTTTTGTGATAAGACGTATAGAATTGATATTAACATATGATATTTGAAGTCATGTGAAATAAAAGTTAGGTTGCCCTTGAATTAAGTGTTTTTTCTCTTCAGAATATAGAGGGTAATAACAGTGGTTACGCGAGTACGCAGTCCGAATGTTTGTCATCCAAGTTTCATCTAGACGAAGATAATTTAATTACAAATTTGACAATTTATGAACTCTCTTATAACGACCCAGCTACTCTTGTCGCTTAGTATTCTTGGACAATACTTCACTCGAGAAGTCCTCAAATCAGAACACGGTTGAACAGGAACGTCATTATATTCCAAATAACAAGGTTGAACGGAAATAGGAATCACCATAAGAAAAACATTAGTATATTTATAATTTTCATACAATAACATTCTAGAGTCTTCCCCAAGTATCCGCTGGCACTGATTGATTACGAAATGACCAATCAGCGTGCCTCATACAATCCTGCACGGAGCATGCTTTAATCCAATCTATACTCGGTTAACACCCTTTATTTTATGATCTTGATATGTTTTACGGGAATCGCAACTTTTACACGAGAAATAACCATAAAATCAACCATTCTGTGTTGTTACAAAGTTCGTTCGTATGATAGTTACAGAAAGATGTGAAAATTCTAATTCATATACAGGCACTTGTCTGAAACGGTATCGATCCGTAGAATGCTATGACAGAAAAGTCAAATCAAATGATTGTATATCAATAAACATTTATTTTCAGTAATCCTTATACAGAAACATTTTTGATCTAAGCTGCGAAATACGCGTGAAAAACTTTAGTGTTGTAACCATATTCTAAAAAATGTTTTAAATATCAAAACATCATTCCAGGATAAATAATCGAATCAAAATACCACGAACATAAACAGTTAATCAAAATGAATAAAGTACATGCATGTTTTATCTGATTTCAAATCTAACTAATTTATGAGGTAACTAGCTAAATCAGTAATCAAGCTTAAATTCGAAATACCTCGCTTTCATAGTCGATATGCTAAGCGTTTATATTACTCAGATGTGTCTCACAAACATTGTTAGTGTTGCATACAGTTGTTTGTGTTGTTACGTAGTGTTTCATCAATACACTGTGATAATCGTCCCTCACGGAAAATATATCCCAGTCTACTCAGATGACTCTTAATGAAATCTGACTAAAACTTAGAAAATTTTCAGTAAGATTTTAATGCAATCATGAGTGGTAGTCTGATTGATTTTGATGACAAGACTATATCTAAGAGCTTGCGTTAGACAGCACGAATACGACTGTTTACTCAGCTACTTGTCTCTCATTGAAATCCCTGGAATATCAGAAGACAAAAACGAGTCTGTTTGTGGAGAATTAGTTAACAAAATTAGAACTTCATATAATTAACCTAAGATAATTGAAAAAAGGGTGAATTACGTACATTATCTGGTCCACCAACAGGATAAATTCAGTTTGTCAGTCATATGCAACACAGAACCTGACACATAAGTGAATCGGTTAAATTTGCTACATCACATCAGCAAAGCGAGATGTTGAAATAGTATAATTAGAAATGGTACTATTGGTAATAGAAAAGATTAGCCATAGGGGGTATGACTCAAGAAAATATGAATTAGAAATTTATCATGGATAATTCTGTAGCTTTTGATCTAAGTCAAGACAGTGAATACGTCTGAACCAGTGTAACTTATTATGATCAATGTATTTAATCAGTGGTTATGATGAATACGCGGGCCACAAGCAGGCAATATGTACCTGTTTACAATAAGTTCATGAACTGATGCTATATTTTGATTCGTCCGTCACTAGCTTTCTTCCAACTTACTCCTACATCACCCGTCGAGGTAGGTAGTGGTTGGGCATATGAAATGTACGTCCCAACTTTCTCAATAGAAGATTAGCGACCTCATTAAATGATTTCCCAACCTTACCTAGGGTCAAGTCTAATCTCGGTATTGTTCACTTGGTGGGACTAATATACTCAACCAATGCACCAAAGGTATCTATGATTATCTATGAATATTCTATATTTCTAAACAGCACGTTTTTCATCCACAAAGTACAGCAAAGGAACAGGAAAAGCTACCCAAGAAGAATATTAATTCGACCGTACAGCAGCAAAAATTTAATTTTTTTGTTCATTCTACTAGATTATTCAGCAGTCTAAATTTCTATTAGTTAATGAAGTCACTTCCTACTAAATGAATGGCTACTATTAAGATAACTTAAAAGATATGCTTGACTAAGTAATTTATCCATTAGCGCCATATACGTCGACTCAACAAATAGTGATGTAAAAACAGGAGGCTGACAGCAATTCTCCTACAGCAAGAAATAAAAAGATTTATTGAGTATAAGATGATACTTTTGATATAATTGATGTACAGTAGGGTTTATTTACAAGGAAGTGAATAATTCTAAAATATCATTACTATCATAAAAATAACAGAAAAAGTAAGATAAGTGGTTTACATGTGTATAAATATTGAAAACACGTAAACCAATACAATTGAATATAGATTTTACACGAAACCATAAACAATTGGAGTATGCAAAACTAAACGTAACTTTTTTCCTAAAGAAAAATAAAGAGATTGGATTAAGGATGGAAAACTGAAATATAAATCATTTAAGAAATGATGCTTTGGTTAAATAGTATACGGCTAGGATATTATTCAACAGTATTCGGATGAATGACACTCAAATTTTATCATATTCAAAACTAAACTTACCAGTATACAATGTATCCAAAGCCACATAGAAATGCATGTGATGTATTGAAGAGTAGTCAAATTAAGTAATGTAGGAGAAACTAGAGAAAGCGAAAAAATGTTGGTATTGCCTCAAAAAAAGACAACAATATCCCAGTGGTCATATATAACAAGGGGAAAAGAGGAGTTAAAAATTGAATTTACTATCATTAAATACTATTGAGAGTAATAATAACAATGATAGAAAAATAAATGGCACATGTACAAAAATAATGAAATTGAAATAATACAACTATTGAAGAATGAAACAACATTATATATTGTGGAAATGGAGTTTGGAATTGTCAGTTTTCCTGATGGTATTTTGCTTGGATGGTTTCTATTAGTTTGCAGCATATATATATATATATATATATATATATATATATATATATATATATATATATATATAGTGGATAGTGAACAGTATGTTTCACAACAAACTGTTCAGATCTACTAGGTTAGTTAAAACCTGCAGTTTAAACATAGCGTTATTGAACTCGTGTATACAACCGAATGGTTCAATATGATATTGTTTATGATAATCAGCTGAACATAGGACTAGTAATAGTGATAAGAAAAACTCAACATTTTGGGATGAAAATAAGGAAGATATATCACTACAAAAATCAAATTACTGAACATTTTTCATGGAAATTGGAATGAAAGTAAAAATCCCTCAGAAATGATAATGATGCCCGTTTTTTGTTTTAATTTTGTGAAAAGTTCAATCAGGAAAATATATACACGCTTTTGGCAATTGATCTATTCGAAGAACCTAATGGAAAAAGTTGAAAATGAACATATTCAAGTGAAATATCAAAAAAAGGTAGAGTGTTATATAAACCGAGAGTCAACTACAGTAATGTTATAAATTAAAATAATATTAATTACTTCTTCTTAACACGCAAAGTTTAAGTCACACTTTAGATGATCAAACTAAATTTTAAATACGAGGAACACTGAGATTTATTCACTCAATTATTAGTACGTGGTCTATTTGGATCTATTACACGTTAAACAACTATGTTATTTCATACACATAGTTTGCTTTATCATTTTGAAAAGAGCAAGAACAAACATTTTAGCAGAATAGCATGAATTCATTTTTATTTCGTTGGTTCTCATCAGCTGCTTACAACCTGTGATATTTAAAATCATAATTAATGGGTTTAAATTACTTACATGAAAGAGTTTGATTGGAAGTTATATTGAAGACATATTCGTATAGTATAGTAAGGGTGTAAATAAATTTAATAGACTGGATATTATAAATATATACCTTATGTGATGAAAGAACATTGTGACAACAGTTCAAAGGGCTAGAAACAAGTAAACATTGATGAGAATAAAATGAGTAGAGTTCATTTGATAAAATAAGATAGTTGGAATAAAACTCAATGATGTGATAAGGCATATATATATATTCATGCTATTCTGCTAAAATGTTTGTTCTTGCTCTTTTCAACTATTATTGTTTACACTTTGACATCAAGTTTGTTGTAACCGGCTAATTTATTCGCCAATCGAAATACGACTCATACAATCTTAGTAACGTACTAAACCAATGATGTTCGACCGGTATGAACAGCTTAGATTTTTTACTGGTCCTTTTTCCTCCTAGCCCTTCCACTATGCGAATTATTTATTTCAAACGTACTTGGTTTATATACCAGCCAAACGGAATACATCACACCATAAAAAAGGAAATAACATTTATACAAGATCAAACCAAAAGTGACTGTGAACGTGGAACTGAGTATAACTTAAGAATACTAAGTCGTGTCATAATAGTTAAAATAAAGCTTATAATAGAAGTACAGCTACACACAATCTAGTCACTGAATATTTATACAATAGGAATATATATATGTCCATTAATAGTTCTCAGAAGTTACCCGTAGTTTAATCTTCACCAGGATATAACAAAGTTTATTTCAGGAATACAATACATCATACAAAATTCACGATTAAAACAAGCTTTGGAAACATACGTATTCCATCAGTGTTGTTGTTTCGGAAGACCGTTGTTTGACCAAAGACAAACGTAAACCAATATTACAATACAATCGAATATTTTCAGCTTCCAGTATTTTTTGTAGATCTCTTTTGGTTCGTCTGCTTAAATGAATTACTGGCCATAGTGAGCATCCAGCTGTACAACAACAACACAATAATCCACAAATAAACCATCTAACATGACTAGGTAGTGAATTCTCCAAGCGCTCATTAATTTTACGTATACTTTCCTCAAATTCTTCAGGAGCTAGTTTACCATGTAATTCATTAGGGAATTCTTCCTTGAATTTATTGTTCATACCAAAGCTAACATTTTAATTAAAGAAAGTGAAATGCATGATATAATTTTATATGTGAATGTTATGAGTAAGTAAATTAACATAGGTTTATCAAGAAAGTTATGAACCATGTCTAGATTTTGCGGCTTACAACCTGGATAAATTAATCTCTGTTGAAGCTAACTAAAAAGAATAAACTACCGAATAATAGATTAACATTACAAACTATATCATATAGGTAAATTTCTAATTTTAAGCACCTGATTTATTGTAATATCAATAAAAAATATACAGCGAAAACGCGGACGTGGTTTCACAAACAAAAATAGTGACAACAAAAGTGTATGTTGGAAAGCTACGCAGATGAAAAGATAAGATAGTCCTATCTGCTAATTAATAATCATTGATTTTGATCAATAAAAACATACATAAAATATTCTGGGAGCGATAAAAGGTAAGTTAAGACTCAGTATTAGTGACTATTGATGAACTGATTCTTGTCAGGCAATAACCATTTTACTTATTTTCGAAATCTAAAAAAACAATGGGATGCTGTAGATGCTTGTAGAACCAAGTTGTTCAGCTCAATTCTTACAAAAAATTCCGTCGAATCTTACACATATTGGAAGTTGGCCAATAGCATTATTGTGAGAACGAAAGGAAGTTGATACCACTATAACTACACCGACTTCAGTATACAAAATTGTAAATTCCCCTGTAACTTACATAAAAAAATTCTTATTCGTATACTGTATTCTTTACGTCATTTGTGAGATTTGATGAAATTTATTATTTTAAACATTTCTAAAAGTTGTAGAACTTTTCAGGTCAAACAGTGATGCTGTAAAGTCAGCCAGTTACAATGTAAAGCCTGGTACGTATATACATCAGTTCAATTTACCAAAGAGAGGAAATTTTCAGATCAAATCCTATAATAGTAGAGGTAGTAGCAGTACCAGCAGTGATTGGCATCAAACGATGTAAGGAATTCAGAAGTCCAGGATTGGGAAGAAGACAAAGAATGAACACACCTGTGTTATTCCAAACGACTTTGAGCCGTGACATCCGAAGTCCCTAACCATTGGTTAAAATAACCACACAGACCACAATCAGGCAGTCTACACCTATTTTGAACATGTTCCAAAAAGCCTTAGAACAAGAGAAAAAACGACTTTAAACAGTGTGACTATCTAATATTTCTTGGATGCAAGACATCAGGTCGATATCTTGCAATCTTTCACGGTGATTAAAAGACAATCAAGTCTTAGTTTTCCGAAGTTTGCTGAAGCAGTTGCCATCAGGCGTCGAAAATCTGACTTCTGTGTTCCAAGGATATCCATTAATCTTTCCTTGTCTTAGTGACAAATATTCCTTCACTGTATCCTAAATATTTTTTCAGTTCTTTACTTCATTTAATTACACCATGTCTTTTCATTTCGACTATCCTCTAGATTAGTAATCTTATTTTATTAACTGAGTTTTACTAATTGTGTAATCACTTGTTTTTAGCCCTCTAAACTCTTGTTACAAACAATTTTGTATAATGTTTTTTTCACATAAGGTATATATTAACAATATTCCGTCTTAAATTTATTTATACCCTTGCTATACTACACTGATAAGTTTTCAAAACAACTTCCAACTAACATCTGTTGTGTAAGTGATTTAAAACCATTTTGTAATTACGATTTTAAACACAGGTTGTAAGCAGCTGACAATAACCAAACGAAATAAAATGAATTAATTCTGTTTTGCTAGAATCTTAGTACGTGCTTCCTAGACTTATTGACATAGCTCAGTTTAATTGTCAGTGACTTTATGGACTGATGTTATGTAGTGAAATCATACGACAATGAAAAGTAATAATTCCAGTGGTTGTAAATTATTGAAATCTGCACATTCACTAATTACCTAGCGTCTTTATCATATGATTCAGATGTCAAAGTGTAGAACAGCTAGATATATTGGTCGTTTCACTCGTTTATTCCATACAGGCTGTCAAAGATTAATTAGTCTATATATTTGAGGTATGGTCAACATCAAAATGTAAACATGTTTACACAGTGAGGTTATTGATATCGGTAATCTATGCCTACTTCACACTAGCTGTAATGATGACTACAGATCGAACAATAGATTGGCAGTCTTGAAGTCAAATATGTTGCTTCAGATCAAATACATAAAAATATTGGATGAATAAATTGTTCAAGTAAAAGCTCAATGAAGTCTTCACTCTAGACAATGAAGATGATGAGCAATAGTCAGTCAGTAAATCTAAATCACTAAGAGTGAGTGTTAATTACGACACAATACTGTTATTCCAACCATTACTGAACTTAATTACTTGGGTGGCACACATCTTTCTCGGTTCAATTTACCTTATTTAAACTGGAAAACGAGCCACAGAAAAAGAAACGATATTGTGTTCAAGATACGGAAGGGAGAATGTGAAATTAAAGGAACACGAAATATTGAAGGATACAGTTCAAAGAGAAAACAAGATGGAGAAAAATTACGTTCAGACTGACAATCAGTAGCAATTGTCATTGCCTGTGTAGATAAGCTCATTAAGGCTCTATTTTAGGTGCAGTAGAAGCTAAAAAATTACAGAAAAGTGTATTCAGACCCAAACCAACTTAACAACAAGCAAAAATTAACTACCCACTAGCAAATAAACAAAGTCGTTAATTTCCATTAAAATTTATAACTATACATGCTTAGAGTCAACTTATTAATATTATCTCAAAAATAAACACTAGCAAGCATGCAAGACAAATGTTCACTGCAAATGTGGGGAGAATTCTGAGTGAATGCGATTTTAGAACTAAAGGGAAATGTATTCAGACTAAACCAATGAAAATTTTACTGGCCAGGCAAAAGAAACTTTAATTTTGAGGTTATTCACAAACTACTACAAATGCTGAACTTTCCGAAAAAATGGCTCACATTGTTACATCTCCACAGCCTTTTATCAAAACGGGCTCACGGGGTCTGTCATATTGTCCGGAAGAAACATAATTAAGAAAATCTATTTCATCCGTATCGTCCATTCTCACATGACCCGGCTTATTCAGAAGGGCTTCGAAATCCAATAATTTACGCTTCGACCGTCAGATTTGTGAACAAACCTTTCAGTGAATCAGGGATTTCTAACACTTAATTTCAGCATAGTAAGTGACTTAATTTACGTTATTTCAATGATCAATAAAGATGACTGCATTCTTAATCTGTTTGTAATGGTGCGTTGTAATATTAACGTCAGTGCAGCACGCACTGTTATGAGGTGAGTTAAACACTCGGCTGTGAATCATAGAAAAGAAAAATCTCCTTCGAAACAAACCAAGTGTGAAATACGGCTGGGTAATAGTGGTCAATATCCTAAAATGGATCTTGGAGACTCGGACAAAATCGTCAGCGTTTCATGTGGTCTCGATGTGGCTGAATTGAGTGACGGAAATGGACGGCCGTGTCATAAACAGCACCTGTTAGGTTGAACGATGATTAGTCAGCCTCCGTCCTGAGTCACGGAATACACTGGCAAAGTATTAAGGTGAGACCAGACTTAACCCTAGCGTAGTTGGAAAAATCTTGATCTCGTCGAATATTATTACGGGTAATTTACTATGATCAAACAACCATGATCGAAAACAGATCAAGAAACGTGTTAGATGTGGGATAAAGAGTTGTAGTACGTTTGTTCTTACAGGAAATTAAAATCACAGATCTACTCATTGCAAGGCTAGGAGTGCTTGAATAGCGTTGGTAGGTAAGGCTGGACATAGTCCGGAAAGATTGTTCTCGTGTATCAAGGAGCAGACTGAGATAATTGATGGAATCTCATCACCATTGTTACAAGAATGTCCGTTAATCTAGTCAAGAAATTGTGTTGCAAAAGTTGAGTCTTTATCAGAATATTTCAGCAGTGTTTTGTACCGACAATGGTGAAAGCAGCTTGTCAATGGATCCTGTGATAATTGAGAAGGGAATTGTCTTTCTATTACTTCATCATTCCCCTTGATGTTAGTGATGTTTATTTTAGAAACATGAAAGCAATATTGTATTCAGTTACTGAACCTCTAGACATGCTGTTTTTATATGACTTTGCTATAGTCCAGACTGCCAAGAGACTGGGAATAATCATGGTTTTACGAAAGATCCACCATGTTGGATGCTATCTAAGCTGACAATAAGAATTAATACGTAGCAGAAATTTGAAGAGTTATGCTTGTCAGCAGAATAGTGAGTTAAGGAATACAGGAAAATCAACAGAAAGCAAATGTTATTTCTACATAATTGGAAGAATTATGAAGTGTTTGGTTTTTTATGTTTCTCGAATACACTATAGTTTTGCATAAAAACTATAAACTGTTTTTTTCCTTCTGAGTTTTGTTCATTATACTATCATTCTCGATAAATTTATTTATTGCAAGAGAAGATTAGACAACCGCGACGTTTGTGAGGACGAATCCTGAACATGGGATTTAAGCAGCAATTTTTTGTTCCAAATATGTGGCGGATACGCTAGAACGATCTCATATCTAGTCGTACTTTACCTTGGGTAAATTACCAGAAGGAGCATTGAAAATTTGCTACAGATGTGAGTTAGACTGGCTGACAACTCTATGTGACAGATAGGTGGTTATGTAGATGCGGTCTACATATATCCAAATTTTTATGTCGAATTCAAAAGGACGAAAAGCCATAATACCAGTTTTGTAAACAGATTTCGCGGTTGACTAAATTCTCTTTGCGTGAGTCAGCTGAATACCCAAATATGATGTTTTTAGGTTAAGGGTTCCAAATGTCTTTTTTCGTTGAAAAACCTATTAGACACGTATATTATGCTCGCCACAATATCATAGCTTCCCTTCGATGTCATCTTAATTGTCACGAGATATACTGAGAGCATTATAACTTCTTATAATTTTTATTTAACTATGTTAGTTTTTAATGAGACTGAGTAAGCAGGTCTAATGTCTCAAGCTTTTGTAACGTGGCGTCGAGTCTAGATTGACTATGAACACCGCTACCAAGAAGCTCGTTCCAAATGACTCCATAAAACCCCCGAGAAGCCAAATATCAGAAGACAATTAATGAACCAAATCGAGATGTATTCGCTGGCGATCTCGTGGCATCGAAAGGATACCGAGATCCTGCCAGGATAGAAGCTTGGTTACAGAACGTAACTGAATTCGCGCGAAGTTACAATCGAAGTGTAAGGATAAGAATGGAAGCACAATATAGCTGTCATTAGCACAGTCAAACAAAAGCACATTAAAACAAATACTGGTACAATTGGTTATACTAATAATTGTTTTTATTAAACCAGTCGTGTTCTCGTGATAAATGTGAGTCACTACACTTTAGAATGAATTGCATATCTAGAAATCGTAGGATTAAACGGCTGGATATCCATCGGGCGTACAAATGATCTGTATCATTTTTAAGTAAAAGTTTATTGTTTTATTTAGACGTTATTTGTACTGTGCAAACGACCGTGAAGTTATTCATAATTAGCTGGGTGAAAGCTGAGTTAAAAACCCTTTAACTGCTACCAAAATTCAGCAAGCCATGTTTTCATGATATTATTTTTACTGCCCATCATAGACCATTGTGAAATAGGACAAAGGTTTCTGACTTTTACGATTGTCATTGTTGGCAGTTGTATTCTTAAAATACGAGTAAATGTACATGTCTGCACTGGCTACCGTTAACTGCCGTTCAGTCCAACTTCACAAAAATGTAAGCGGGCCTGGAGTGAATATGCGTTTCCGCTCTCCGTTATCTGTCACCAAATTTTGACGTTATAAGGGCGCATTAACATCAGAGGCATGATTAAACGTCAGAGCTAAATACTAAGAATTATAAATAAATAGGAGTTAAAATGGATATGGGTGGTGTTGAATAAAATAGTGTTTTTTCTAAAGAGCATTTAGAATTTATTCTTTGTTTTTGTAGACAGTCTACCATGTGACTTGTAATTCGCTTCATCAAAAGCCTAGAAATTACTAAATTTCCCAGCTTCGACACAAGCAGATTAAGTGGCACAAAGTTAGGAGCTCTTTGAGGTCACCGTAGAAAACATTGACAGATTTTTTGCTACCAAGATACTGTATCCATTTTCCAATTGCTACAAAGAGGTGATTGTTGTGTGATAATCCCTTCTGTAAATCATGTCCGCTGTTCGACAAAATGTTTGTTTCGACGAAGGTCATAATAATCTGCACGATGAATTTTCTAATATTTTATCCATTTAATTGGTGACGATTACTGGCTCGTAGCATGATTCAAGTCGTCCTAACCTTACCGTGTGCGTTGAAACAACGGTAGAATCTTTACAATCAAATGGTAAATAACCATGTTTGTGTGAAATCTCGAATGTTGTAGTGAATGGACCATTAGTGTAGCAAATTCAACCTTGTTAAATAATCGCGGGGTGAGGAATCTATGCTACTGCACACCATATGTTGGTGTCATCCAGATATAGGTGACTAGGAATACCAATGTTAAACAGGAGGAATATAATTGTTCTGAAAACTAAACCAGAGCTCTGTGATTTTAATTGTTTTTCATGTAGTTTCCATGTTTTCCGTCAATATTTGAGTTTACCTTGTTGAGCTTTATTTCCCATGTATGCGTGTCTCATTTCGGCCTATGACCTTACTCCAGTTTTTTCGCATGATTATGATAACAAAATATGCATATGCCTACATATTATGCACTGTTTACTGAGGACAGTCACTGAGGAAGTAAAGCTATGGAGGCAGGAGTGTCCACTGCACTGGACAAATGTTGCCATACTATCCATAGCCAGAAGAAAAAGTAAACTGAAAATATGTGATAAGTAGAGTAAGCGATGTGCACATGTACGCTCAAATAAAAACGGTCAAGGCTATAAACGAGTAGCTGACAACTTGAAAATACACCTGAGGTATGAATTCAAAAGAATGAATTATTTGGTGTATCTGTAGACTTGAGTAGCTCGTGTCGATGTGATTTTATACTGGATGCTGCCTTATGATGAAAATGTGTGGTTAGATTGTCCAAAATTTATTACGCTGAGGTTCAGGTCATAAGATGCAGACCTGCCAGATTATTTGAATGATATATCTCATAAATGAGACAACGGGATCATTGTATCAGTAACATTCTTTGACTATAAGAAACATTTTATAAGGTCTTCTCGTCAACTTGAAGACTTTCGGAATCAAGAACCCACTATTTTAAAGGTTTGCTTCATTCTTAATCGAAAGTAGACAAAATGTGGATGTGACCCTCCCGTGAATACCATTAATGTATCCTCTCAACCAATGATACTACAGATAGGATACTAAGTAGTAGTAGTTCTCCGAGTTATTATTGAAGACTCTGACTTTGACGTTAACATACAGTTGATTTGGGTTGCATATAATGTTCAAATGTAGGAATGCCGGTATTAGTTAGTTAATCCACGAATTTGAATCTGCATTAGATCCTCTTTGTTCATAGATGATGCTGCCAACCTAAGTGAAAGTTTTCACATATTCCAGATCTTTTCGACTAGGTATGATTGAATTGGTGTTCTCTAAGTTTTATATCAGGAATACTTTGAATAGAAACTTTTAACTCTACTATATCCAATTTTCACTTTCATCATTAACAAATGTTTATAACCAATCATATTTTTTACAGTTCCTTTTCGTCTCCGTTTGTATTTATTTTTGTTACTGTAATTTGCAATAATTAACTGAAGAATAAGATTCAATGCATTAACGATATATACGTTATATTATTTTTACAACTTCTCGTATTATAATTGTCAAATCCATTTTTATTTACTTATTACATTTACCAACTTGAAATATATATAATGAAAGAGGAAAGAGAAAGGTACATATTCGATTAAAAATATGAAACTCAGAAATTACAGTCTTTAAAAGTGTATTAGTTTGATATTTATTTTGAAGTGATCAATTAACAAATGTTTTAAGCAGTTTGAACTGATGAATAAATAAAAATTGACAAATTCTACATTCAATTGTTAAAGTGATTGGTATAGAAAAGCACGTAAGTAACTTTTACAATTAGAAGAAAATTCACATGGCAAGTTAATCTCCACAACCTTATACTGATAACGAATATATTTTGTTCGGTGTTGATATAATTCAATGGAAATACGGTTAAAATATTTTCAATGTACTCGTGTTTGAATAGACAGTTGAACTTTTATGCTTCTCTACACC